ATATATTTAATTCAATTAATTTTATCATAAACCTAAACATTTTATTTTTTTTTTTTTGGGTTTATTGTTGCGTGTAGGTGTTATAGAAAAAGAAATATGCAGCACCATCATCAGCAGAAACAAAAAAAAAAACAGAAATCTACATAAAATAAAAGAGAAATAAATTATTATTTTTATTATTATTATAATAAAAATATAATTTAATTTATTTTTTGATCCTTCACCGAAAAAAAAAAAAAAAAAAAAAAAACAAAATTCAGGTGTATAGGCAGGTGGATATTTTCTGCGGTGTATAGGCAGCTCGTAATTTTTGGGGTGTATATGCAGCTAACATTTTTTTCTTTTTCTATTGCTATATTTAAATCATATTTTAAGTCTTCTATTTGTCCTTGTAAAAACGCAGAACTGCGGGACCTCCCTTTCTCCTCCTCCAGCTGCAACCACAAACCCTAAACCCTAAACCCTAAACCCTAAGCCCTAAACCCTAGACGCTAAACCCTAAACCGTAAACCCTAAACCGTATGCCTTAAACCCTAAACCCTAAACCGTAAAAATGAAGCCCTAAACCCTAGCATTTCTGCATTATACATTTGTGTTTTAGGGTTTAGGGTTTAGGGTTTAGGGTTTAGGGTTTAGGGTTTAGGGTTTATGATTACCTGCTCCTCCATCTGCTGAATTGAATCTTCTTTTAGTTTTAGGGTTTGCATTAGGCTGCAACAAAAAAAATAAAAAAAATAAAAAAAGAGAAGCACGAGCTTTATAAACCCTCATTTCTATCAAAAACCCTAAACCCTAAACCCTAAACCCTAAACCAAAAGAATAAAGAAAAAAAACATTTATTTGTTTTATGTGCAGGATTTTAATAAACCCTCATATCTATTAAAAACCCTAAACCCTAAACCCTAAACCCTAAACCCTTTTTTTTTCATTTCTCCTGGACTTCCTTCTCCTTTCTTTATTTTGAGGGTTTAGGGTTTAGGGTTTAAATCAATGAGGGTTTAGGGTTTAGGGTTTACGAGGGTTTAGGGTTTAGGGTTTAGGGTTTACCTTGCTACTCTCATTTCTAGGTCGCTTTGGGCCTCCATAGATTTCTGCAGCTCCTTCTCCGCTCTGTATATACACCACAAAAATTAGGGTTTAGGGTTTAGGGTTTAGGGTTTAGGGTTTAGGGTTTGGGGGGTTGTAATATACTTTTCTTTATTTGTATTAAAGGAAAGAATAAAATAAATTAATAAAATATAAAAATAAATAAATAGAATAAATAGACAAAATAAATAAATGAAATAAATAAAAAAATAAATAAATTAAATAAATAAATTAAATAAACAAACAAAAAAAATAAATAAAATAAATAAATAAAATAAATAAAATAAATAAATAAAATAAATAAAATAAATAAATAAAAACATAAATAAATAAAATAAATAAAGACTTACTGTTGATGAGCAGCAACCAGCTTTTCGTTTTCTCCTTCTTTGCTGTACATACACCCCAACAAGCAGCAGCATATATATATATATATATATATATATATG